AATTAACATATCCTTGGTCATGTTTGCACTACTTATTTTTTAGAGAGTAAGAGAGAAGGTGACCAGGACGATTCTTCGTCGAAAGCGAAAAAGACATTTGGAATGTTTTGGTTCGGCGGTGGACGAAAAGCTAAAAGCGACAAAAGAGGCTCGAAATATGGCTCCTCGGACAGCTTGAAGAATTCAGCTGAATTTGAGAGACGTGGAAGTGAATTCTCGCTTGAGGACTCAACAGCAAGTGCCGAAGTGTCAACGACAAGTACCGAAGCGTCAACGACAACTACCGAAGTGTCAACGACAAGTTCCGAAGTGTCAGCAAAAAATGCCGAAGTGGAGGAAAGTAGCGAGATAGCCAAGCCACAAAGTGGTAGCAAAGCGAGTAACGAAACTTTAGTGGTAGAAAAGTCTTCAGAAGTAAAGATTATCAACGCAGTTTACCCAGATTTGGCAGAAGATAAAGACATCAAGAAACCTGGGACAGAGCAAGTAGGAGAAGACCATTCTTCACCAAAAGAAGAAATTGTAAGCGAGAAATTGGCAAAAGAAGCCTTGAAGGAGGAATCCGTGAGCTTCCAGGAACAAACTCCTGTAGCGTCCAAACCACAAACGTTCGAATTCAAACTACAATCATCTGTCATCTTGAGTGAAGCTAACAAGAACGAAGAAGAAAAAGAACAACGAGCGGAAGAAAGCAAGAAAGAAAGAGTACAGCTGAAGATTGAAGAAAATGTCTCCACACACGAGAAGGCACCAGAATCTGGGCGAAGATATGAAGTGTCTTTGGAAGAACAAGAAGAACAGGAAGCGCAAGTGAATGTAGAGGCGGTGGTACTCAGTTATCTTGAGAAGGAAGAAGACCAGGTTCAAAATGAGAATCAAGATGGCCTTGTAGCAGATGAAGAAGAACCAGTGGTGCTAGAAAGTGCTGAGAATCAATTTCAAGAACTGGTCGACGATTTTCTCAAACTCGATGCTAACAATGAAGAAATATCAATGCAAAAAGGTGAGACTGCCAAGATAGAAGAAATCGTTATCGCCAAGCGCTCCGAGGAATTCGGGAGTGAACCCTCTCCCTTTCTCAAACTTGATGCTAACAATGAGGAAAGATCGATGCAAAAAGGCGAGACTGCCAAGGTAGAAGAAATCGTTATCGCCAAGCGTTCCGAGGAATTCGGGCGTGAACCATCTCTCTTTCTCAAACTTGATGCTAACAATGAGGAAAGATCGATGCAAAAGGTGAAACTGTCAAGGTAGAAGAAATCGTTATTGCCAAGCATTCCGAGCAATTCGCGCGTGCACCATCTCCCTTTGACGAGAAAAGTACCTTTATTACAAGTACACCAAACCGGGAATCAACCGACAGCCAGCAAGGCAAGAGAAAGGATGAACTATATAAGACAAGCCCAGCTGTCAGTTACGACATTACACGTTTCAAAGGAACAGCAGTGGCCGTGGAGTTCAGAGTTCAAATCGTCAACAATATCAAGGATGTAAAGATGTGTACTAAAGCATTGTTGGCTCAGTTGGCACAGATAAACAAGAAGCTTCGTACCCTGCAGAAGGAACTGGTTGAAATTCAGAAAAATGACAGCGACCAGGAACCAGAAATTGTCAACACCGAGGACGCCTGATGAATATTGAGTTGCCATGGATACAAACGTCAGGCATCATTTTCAAAACTTATAACTGAGTCGGGACGCTATAGAACAAAGTAGAACAGAACGTTTTGGACACTTCTTTGCAGCAAGATGCTTTGTAGCAAGAGATGATAATCTAGATCACCCTCTCTTGTTTCTAGTTAAATTCACATTATGTTAGTTGTTGAACGTGGAAAATGTTAAATTTATTGTCAACATAATCTTTTTTTTGGCCATTTTAGTCACATGACCAGTACGATTTGTATGGAATTATGAGTCTTGTTTTAAAATGCACGTGCAACATACTTTTACTCTTAACAGTTGTAAATAACCGTAAACTGGTTATAAACTTGACCAGTTTCAATTTTTAACACTAAAGAAACTACTAGTCATAGTTGTCACAAGTTAATTTAAAAATATTAAGGTAAGCAGTGGAAAATATAATACATGATAGCAATAGTCTATGGAAGTTTTCAAGTTTTAAACGTTTTTTCCCAGGTGTATTTGCGGGGTTGTGTTTATATATCAAATACCTGATACTAGTTAGCCATTGTATGTTCTCTGATGAGACAACTGTGTGACGTCATTTTATCCTGAAAGAGCATTTACATATACTCATGTTGTAGCTTTGGTTTCCGGGACACATACACTGTACTACTAACGAATAAATCTTCAACGGAGAATTTAGACTGCGAAACAGTCTCTCTTTTTCTCGAGATATTGTGCGCGACGCGCGAATTGACCGTCTCTCCCCAATCCCACTCGTAATTTCACGCTCGTTCCAGATCCTTCGGCCGCGTTCAGCCCGACACTATCGTGCGAAAATACGGACTGTTTTGCAGTCTACTGAGAATTACGCTGTTAAATAACCTCCTTTATTATACGACATGGCATTTTAGAGTGCGAATACGCACCAAGACGAGAGCAAATATGAGACCGTATTCAACGGGTCTCAGTCCCCCTGGCCGCGCGCTACGGAAAACACTGTTGAAAGCCTATATTTTAGGAAAGATTTTATGTCGTATAATAAACAATTTATTCAGCGGAAAGTTGTGTAATACGGCTGGGCATTTTTACTCGTCAGTGTTTATTTTTTCTCGCCTAAAGGCTCGAAAAAATAAAAACTGACTCGTAAAAATACCCAGCCGTATTACACAACTTTCCGCTGAATAACCTCTATTTATTTTATGATTTTATGCTTTGATAGCCTGAAAGTTGTGGGAAGTTTATCTCATTTCTACAAGGCATTGCAGGTCACTGGAGGTCACTGCACCACTCGCCGTTTCATCTGGGCAACATGACTCCTATTTTACATTGGCATGATTTCAAATTTTGAGGTTTTGACAAGATATCTACCCCCCCCCCCCCCCCCTCCCCTTTCTCCCAGCTTCTATATTAATCTACCTTATTATGATCAAGAATTACAGAAGCGCAGACAGTCAAATTTGGTCAACTGCAAAAACCTTAAGGGGGGATTCTACCTGAATTTCAAAGAAATTTTAAGACGTTTAAAGAAGGGATAGAAGGAAAAAAAACAATTTTGGAACACCAACAGACAGTTGATACCCACGCGGGTGCTCTTGCGTGGTTATCAACAGTCGTCAATGTCAATCTACTAATTTTTAACTTCAAATTCTAATTTTAAAACTACATTAAATCTTCAATATTTCTTATTTCCCTAAATTTTACAACTCCTTTGAGAAAAACTATTTCCTCCCCAAAATACCCAAAAATCACCCAAAAATTTACAAAACACCCTATAACATAGATTCATGGGATGAGCATAAAGTTTTTGGATTGCTTGAAACGTGAACGAGATATTCCATTAAACCCATGGCGGAAAAATGGCATTCAGGTGGACTCCCGCCTTAACTTGATTTCTGTCCTGAGTTGGCCGTTCAGGTCAATTGCACTGTAGCCTGCGAGCGCAGACGTATTTCCGGCTCGGAAATACGTCTGCGCTCGCAGGCTAATTGCACTGAAAACGTGCTTTTTTGGGACATTTTAAGACGAACTTCCTTTATATTTTTTAATTTCAGAAATGGGCAAGAAGTCAACACAAATAGCGTGACCACCGAGTTCCCTTAATTAAATTCCTCAATATCAAAAATACTTGCTCAATATTCGGAGCCTTTTATTGCAATTTAGAACAACCTGAGTCGAGCAGCGGGTTCATTTGGAAACCTTTGTGAAAGTTGTTACGGAACTGATCTAGACTTGGGCATCCTGATTCTTATCTTCTTTGTTCAGTTCCTCAATGTCAGTGTTGACATTTCGATCGAGAAGGAGCACGTATGACGCGCTCTTTGAATGACTGCTCCATTGTTTCGTTAATCCTCAATAAACAAACAGCGCTTGGAATTTTAAGTGAAACTGATGTGGGAGTGGATAATAATAGCTCTGAGAATGATAAACTAATTTAACCCCAGACACGCAGCTGGTGCCTCACGTTCAGCAGTCTTGTGCTATCACGAAATACCGCGTCATTTTGAACATTAAGGTCGTGTTGAATTGACGAAAACTGTGGAAATAAATCGCAACATTACAAATTAAACCCGTCGACGTTAGGTAAGTACAGTCAGTTTCTATGTTTTATTTTTTCACTGTTAGCCTTAGTTGCGAAATAACGTAAACCACTCTAAACAATTGCACCGGACAATTGCAGTTCTAATTGACTCGTTTACCGATTCGCACTGACATGTACACTTTTCCTAAAAAAAGGAGCACCACAAAAATGAATCTCTCAAGTTTTTTACGCTAAAATGATAGCGTGTTGCTCATAATCCACTCAAGACCGCATACAATATCCAATATACTCCACGACGGGACACTTGCGGAGTAATAGCTCGTTCATTTCGTGACAAGACTTTACCAAAGTAATGTAAAACAATGAACATGTTGCAACTAAGTAACTGCAAACAGCTTCCTGAGAGGACTTCATTTATTTTCGACCTTTTTAATGTTCAAAAATCTGCTGTACCCAGTTTTCTGCGGGCTAATTTTTCTTTAGGAATTACAATTATCTCAGTGGAGACGAATTTGGAGATTAAATATTAATGATAGCACGTGAGATTAGTCCAAGATTTATGTGTTGACTGTTTTAAGTGTCGTGCCGCATAATTTCATCTAAAATCCTGATAGCGCCAATATATTGGGTCTATATTGGCTATACTGTTCTCCTGGATTAGCGTCTTAAATTATTTGACGGTTTTCAGTGATCTTCAGTATATACGGCAAATTATCGACTCCGTGATATTTGCCACAGTATGAACGGTTTGTTAGATCTTATTAGATCTTATCCGGTGTCTTGATTTATCGATTATAGAAGTGGGAACCTAGTTATATGCCCTTAGCTCCCACGAGTCTCCTGTAGCTCAGTGGTAGAGCGTCCGACGGTGTGCGGAAGGTCATAGGTTCGACTCGGTTGGGGGAACTCGGAATTTTTTTTCCGAGTAGCTTGTGTCACTGACAGAATAATATCTTTCTCAGAAGTGGATACTGTTTTTAACATAGCAGGTCCCTTTGAGGTCCTGGCACAATGCAATCAGTACCAACACAAGTAGGTCCTCTATATCTATATAGCAAAGGTACCAGCGCAAGCTGGTCCCTTACGTTTTTGGTATAGCGAGCAAAGGAGTCAGCATCAAATAAGCCCTATCTGTAGATGTATATAGCATAGGCCCAATTTTGAAAAGCATGTTCGCCGGATTTAAGGCTTTCAGAACTCCCGTGAGGGAGGACTAAGAAAAGAATGCACGTCAAACAACGAAAAGCGGAAGACTAGAGATCGAGAGGATTAATTCTTTCTCGTTTATTTTTCTCGTTCGCACATTATTTTCTGTTTTGCCTATTACGTGCTATAACATAGAGTCGACGCTCTCTAAGTGGACACTCTCATGATAAGCGGACAGATCCACTTACGGCCGCCTTCAATGTGTCGTTAGCTGCCAAAGTCCAGTTACGGACATTTTTTCTGCTTCCCGAAAGTGTCCACTTACGGGAGCAGAGTCCTAGATTGAAGGAGAAAGGAATAAAGCAAGGGAACGTGATTTAAATAGTTTTCAAATTGATCTCACAAAAACAAAATTATGTGCCAGGGCAAGTGAAAGCCTGGTCGTGACCGTAACAAACTGAACTGTTTGGCGGCGAACCCGCAAGGCGCGTGAGTATGACGTCAAACTACAGAAAACCACTTCCACTTATGGTCCTTCAGTGACCCGTCACTCGTAAGGATGTTTCATTGCAATTGACTTGGGTATAAATTTAATTTTCTGATTGAAAGCTATGACCGGAAGTTTCGAAGTTTGAAACAATCTGGCCACCCGTATATCGAGTCTGGGTAATTGTCGAGAGTCGAGAGTCGAGAGTAACATGTCGAGAGTCGAGAGTAACATGTCGAGAGTCGAGACTGACATGTCGAGAGTCGATAAATCGTCAATAACTCTATCAATCGATAATTAATCAATAAATTAAAGTCCCAGGCGATCTCCAGGCTGCGCTTTGCTCAAATAAAATAAAATAAGCGTAAATGCCGCAAATGGAGATTAGCGTGACTGTGTAGTGCGTGTGTTTCCGGACATTGTTACGATAAGAGTACCCAGTCACTTTCCCTTTCGCACGCTACCCGGCTTTGCTTGGAAGAAATTTCAGTTTTAAAATAGGTTATAGCAACAACAATAGGTATGATGACAAAAAGGTACAACTATTTGGCGTTAGGAGCTTGTAATTAACACAGTGAAGCTCTACAAAATTATGACAACCGATTAGCGGAATTATTTTAGATAGCAGCTACTATCGGCCTTTGAAACCATAGTTTATTTTACTGAAAGATTCTGTCTATTTTTCATTTTTAAAGCTAGTGCCGTGAAATGAGTTATTTGAAGTTTGCGTGTACCCGTGCATTGTCTTGTTTAGTATACAAAAGCCACCCTAAAAACAACTCAGACTTGGCTACGAGGATTTTCAAAAATGATTGAGAATTTCAAAGAACAGCAGAATTTCCGAACATTTACGAGGATTCGCGAATATTTTCTGATTGTTTCCGATCGATTTCCGAAGATTGACGAAGACTTACGAAAATTCCAGAGGAAGTCCGAAGATATTTCGACTATATCCGTAATACATTTCATCATTGGTTGCATCTTTTTCTTTAATGAGAAATACCATCATTAATGTATCAGTTGATTAATTATCGATTGATAGAGTTATTGACTATTTATCGACTCTCGACATTTCAGTCTCGACTCTCGACATGTCAGTCTCGACTCTCGACATGTTACTCTCGACTCTCGACTCTCGACAATTACCCAGACTCCCGTATATCATGCAATGTTGCTTTTGTTCACCACGGATTTTAGAGGAAAGTAGAGCCTACTCGCAGCCAATGCACGTGCCAGCTTGGTGACCCTGTGGGCTGCGTTTTAACAGCTAACTGATGACAAACAGACAGGCTGGGTCACATAATACACACGTGATTGCGACACCGTGGTGTACAATTACATCCATTATCTCTGAGTCGAAGATCACTAACTCTCTTACAAACACTCAGTATATTGCTTCTCTTCACAGCAGCATGGATCCTAGAGACTGTTCTGTACTAGATCGACATTTCTCGCGACTACAACAATGCCTTGAACATCCAAGCTCTTACGCCACCTTGAAACCGTCGGTGTAATCGACGAAGACGATGTGGACACCATTCGTGACGAGAAAACTAAATCGTCGAGAGGAAACCAAGTGGCAATGTTTGTTGATATTTTGAAGAGACGAGAGCATGGCTTTAGGCATTTGCTTCAGGCATTATTGAAGTCGAAAGTGCAGGAATTTTTTGGCGAGAGAACTGCTTGAAGATGATGTGTACGATGAAGAAGGTGAGATATAAATTATAATGTTTTCATAATTACATAATCATTTATATGTTTTGCGTTTTGAAACTAAACTCGTTACTGACTTCGTTTAGTTTTATTTAAGACGATCATATGATTCGATTCCCGCGACCTTCTTGTTCACTAATTTGCAAGTATAAATTGACTTGTTTTATCAATCAATCAAGAAATTTCTTCAAAGAGTATTTTAAAAATACGTTAAACTTTACAGCAAGTATTGTATTTTATGGCGGGAAAGGAGCACAGTGCTGACCAGTACTTGCACTCCGCCTCAGTCCGTATCTACCACTTAACTTGCTTACTTTCGATATTGTTGTCTTGAAAGAAAACGTTCGTCTCGTTGTTTCAGTGTCAAGAAGAGATGATCACTTTTCAATTTCTCCCTATATCAATACATCGTCAAGTAAAACGGAAGACGATACTCATCAACTAAGGGACATTGTTTTGACGTGCGACCAAGAAAAGAGAATTTTGTGTTTGGGTACTGAAGGAGTTAATGATTTATTTTATAGGCACTCGAATATCGACATTTATATTATATTTATGTACCAGTTCATGATAAAGGTGTTTTGTATAAATTATCGTGCTTGTGAATGACCAGTCATGACATATAATTATAAATATTAAAACCGGATGTAATGAATCATTTTATTGTCTCATTCACGTACATGGAAAACGCCGCAATCCTTTGTTGGGTTTTTGAACTTCAGAGTTCACATGTTTTTCAGGGAAGGCGCAGTAACCGCAAGTCAAGGGCTTAAAATTTATTACACTTAATTTTAGTGGCTTATCTTTAGCTGCAATATCATCAAAGCACTATAAACAAACCCGGCAACCGCTAAATTTTAGAGGAGAAATGGGACAAAGAGGGGTTGGTCCAAAGGAAGGGTTATCTCTGGAACCAGGGAGCCCAGAAGCCAAGGTTGTCCTATTGGATCCTGTAGAAAAAGGTCGTTTGTGGATCCCTAAGGCAATGCAATTCGAGCCCTATTTTTTTCTCTCTCTCTTGGAGCCCTGTACTTTTAAGCCAGAGACCCATCAACACATTTAGGGTCCTGTATATTGTTGCTTGTCCTGTTCTTTCCAGCTTCATGCATATGCAACGTATTAATAATAATAATTAGTCTTAGTCTATTTAACCCTTTTAATCCCATGCGTGAAATGTCAATTCTCCTTACTGGTTGCCACACATTCCATTTAATGTGAGTTGTGAGAATTTGGTGATACATCAAGACAATATCTCCTGGGTGATGAGTTTCAGTGATTCTCTTCTCCTGTTTGCTTGACAAGGAGAAATTGGTTGTTTGCTTCTCTTGAGAATTGAACATGAAAGAGGGATATGTCCACTTTGAGAGACAGTTGTAAACCTTACAATTGGAAATATTCCAAGCCCCACCTTAACTAGTCTCCCACGCAGCCGTTATTTGTGAGAAGCGTTGCGTGACGCCACAAATAACGGCTGCGTAGGAGACTACACCTTAACCGCATTGCAATGCAATTTAGATAAATTCCATTCCATTCCTTTGTACACCACAAAATTGCACTTTAGTTGCCAAATACACCACAAAATCATTTATCTCTCTTATGTTTGACTGTTATGACTCAATATCCTGCACATGTTTACAAATCTCACGCAATATTCCTCTCGTAAGTTAATTTTTGTATATCATAAGGGAGACTTTTGTATTCCATTGAACGATAGTGTAAATGAGGCGCTATTACACTAGGAAATTTGTCTTGCAACTTGTCTCGCAATTTTGTTGCGACAAAAGTTGTACGAAAAATTGCCTAGTGTAACACTCCTTGAAATTAACATGTCTCGCAACGTTTTTGTTACAGCAAGCGTTGCATAAAACAAAATCAAGTTCTACTTTTCGCAGCTGCAGCGACATTTTTATGCGTTGCCTAGGGGTGCTACACTGAGCAACGTTTCTTGTCTTGCAACGGCGAAACACAATTGCGAGACAAGTTGCACGAAATATTACTTAACAGCCTTTTAATAATCCTTGAATGTTTCTGTTTTAAAATATTTGTAGAAATCAGCAGTATCTTATCAGAATTGGAAAACGACCTGGATGAGACACAATCGTTGAAGCTGAGCCTTATTGAAGAGCAAAAACGGCACAAAAACACCAAAAAAGAACTGGAGGACGTCCGAAGAAGCTCTATAATTTTCAGTGACTCCAGTAGCTCGGGCCTGTTCGCCGATTATGACTCTGCACCGAGCGATGAAAACGAATTTGTCGACTACTCTCCCCGAGAGGCCGAGTCTCCCCGAGAGGCCGAGTCTCCTCGAGAGGCCGAGATAGAAAACGAATCGAGTCGAGATGAAGGCAATTCATCGCTTCTTGATCAAATGCAGGACGGGTTTCAAATTCCGAGCCCCTGTTAGCGAGAAATGAGGATTTAGAATGGGAACACGAAGATGGCTGGCGAAAGTTTGGAAGTGTTGACAACTTAGATACTCTATCTCGCAAAAAAGCTAAACGAGCTTCGCTTGAAAAACTGTGGAAGAGCGCTTCCTTGGGGAGGTTAAACGGAAATGTTA